ATACGACTGATATACGACTTGAAAAGCTGGCCTTGCAATTGCATGAACGAATCAGTGATGGTATTGTATTCGTCAAAGTTGCCAGTTTCCCTTGCCCGTTTGTATGTCTTTCTTCTGACATTTTTCAAGTGCTTCAAATGTTTCGTATACCACGGTGGATCAGTATTTTTTTGCACGGTGATTTTCGGAACAAAAGTATCGATTGCCTCGTGTAGAACATTGTTGAAAATTTGGAATGCATTTTCGATGTCATCTATACGATTAATTCCTACATATTTTGTTCATTGAATGCCATTTTATATAGGTTTTATATGAAAATTCTTCAAGGTCCAAAAAGACCCCACCTGTGCGCATACAGGCATGGCTTCCATACAAAAATCCAAATTTTTTGGAATTGTTGTATGAAAAGTGTGTCGAAATATATTTGTATCGCAAAACTAACGTCATATTCGGTTTTCTCGTACCCAAAAACCCCCCGAAATATATTTTTGAGTGTTTAAGAATACATTAAATATGACTTTTGGAAGAAAAATTGAATTTTTCCCATGGGCATCACACCAGACATGACACGTCACTCTATCAACCAAAGTCTCTCAAAACCTAATGGTTTCTATTCCTCGGCACCCTCAATCATCCTAAAAAATGCACCCATATGAATAAATGGTTCAAATTTAGTATAATCTTTTCTTCTTATTGGTATATATCAAAAAGCGGTGTTGTACGCATAGCTGGGCAGACAGGGGGAGGGGAGATTACCCCCTGAGGCATCACATTTTTGCGTTACCCCTTTACAAAATTATCACATTTTTGCGTTACCCCTTCACAAAATTCATGATTTTGGATAGAATTTTTCTCATTTTGCTAGGGTTTTTGGATCATAGATGAAATTTTCCTATTTTGCTAGGAGTTTTTGAGAAAATTACCCTCCAACACCCCCCCCCCCCTGAATTTTTCAGTCTGCCCAGCTATGGTTGTACGTGTATTATGAGCTGAATCGTAATATTTCATACTATCCGATACATAGGTTGACTTCATATCTCAGTGAATAATTTTGATGTTGAAAGACACTTCACAGAAAAAAGTATTCGAATACGCTTACTCACACTTGCGGTGTTAGTAGAGACTTTACCCTTCAAAATGAGTTACGCACTCGATTTTACTCTATTTTTGGTGTTAGTTTCATCGAACGTATGTGACGATACACTTAGCAATCATCTTCGTTAGCGTATACAGACACATATGCACGCAACGAAACATAACTCGTTAAACGCATGCGGCAACGTACATATGTACTCTTTTTTTCATGTATCTCTTTTTTCACTGTGATGCGTTTACTTTGATGAAACTAACACTAAAAATAGAGTTAAATAGAGTGCGTAACTCATTGTGAGATTAAATAGAGTGCGTAAAGCCTCTACTAAAACCGCAAGTGCGAGTAAGCGTACTCGAATACTTGTTTCTGGCGCAATTGCGCCATCTTGCGTCTCTCCTCAAGAGTAATCATTTGTAGAAACAGTAGTCAATGTTCGTATTTCGGCAGTCTGTTCCATGACATTCTCCTTAGAACAAATGGTAAAAATTGTTTTTGAATTGACTCTATTATATAGTTTGGATTCCATACATAGGTTCTGACATAGTTCGCATAGGTCGCATAGACCCCTCCCTCTAGAATTTTGAGAAAATACTCGATTTTCCTAGAGTTTTTCACATGGAATAAAATTATTCCATTTTGCTATTGTTTTTGGGTTTTTCAGAGTAGGGACCCCCGTCAATTTTCGGCCGTTTTTTTCCAAAATTGCCAATAGTAATTGGCAGAACCAATAGTAATTGGCAATGTAAAATAAAGGTGTTTAATAGTCCATGCTGTAAAAAATCCTTGCCGTAAAATGTTAACCATGTCAATTTCGGTCTGATTTTTATAACATGCTCATTCAGCAGATATTGTTTTGCCAGAGATCTAAAAGTGGCGCTTGGGTTGCCACCGTTGTGCTGGCGGCCGTTGGATGAAACGACCACGTCGAAAATTTTTCAATCTCCTTTCATAGTCGTCAAAATAGCAGTGCTTATAAAACGCACGCTCAACGCGATACACGCATTTTCGAATACACGGTGCGCTTGTCCACTCACCGAACAAGTGCGAGAGCAACTCTTTACTCGCTCAAGTCACATTTCACCGTCTTTCTGGTGCTACATGGCAAGCTTATATGAAACTCTCGGAGAATTAGTAAAATGCACAAAAATATTGAAAATTATTATAAATAATTTTCAATATTTTTGTGCATTATACCGAGTTTCCGAGAGTTTCATATACGTTATAAACGTTAAAGTGTATGTAAGCAGCTCACCGTTGAATGGCAAATAAATGAGCGACTCATACGTAATAATCGCTCACTATAAGTTATAAGTTGCTGCTCACTCAGAGTGCTCGGTGCGATGCCCAAAATTATAGTAATGCCCAAAATTTAATATGAAATTTCGAAAATCAGAAAATTGAAATTTTGACAACATAGGTGGCCGAAATATCTTTGGCAGAGTTTGAAATAATGATTAGTTTTTTCAATTCATTTATTTGAAAATCAATTACCATTAGTTAATGTAAATTGAAATTTTCAATTTATTTTTTTCAATTCATTAAATTGAATTTTCAATTACCATTTACATTCAAATTGAGAAATGAATTGAAATTCATTTCAATTGTGTGAAGTTGCAGAGATTCTAGTTGGCTCCCATATTACTACTCTCGATTGATCAATTTTTTACCGTCAATTCATTTATTATAACATTTTGAATGTAAATTAAAATGTATATATATTTAAAATTTAATATTGATATAAAAATTAAAAAAATTAAAATTTGAAACTGTTTTCATTGCTGCGATTTCTTTTAAACTTATTGACACAGCAACCGTTATTGTTTAATGTGCGCATTCAAATATTAACCTCACTTTTAACATTAGCTATGCACAAATGCCGCATAAGGCATCAATCTCTGCAACTTCACGCAATTGAAATGAATTTCAATTCATTTCCCAATTTGAATGTAAATGGTAATTGAAAATTCAATTCAATGAATTGAAAAAAATAAATTGAAAATTTCAATTTACATTAACTAATGGTAATTATAATTGAAAAATAATTGAATGAATTGGCATTGTAAAATTCGAAACACTGATCTTTGGCATATTGTATCATTGATCCTCGATGCTTAAAACTAATTATCAGCGTTCTCAACGGCGGCCATTTTTCGATTCCGACGCCGATCCGACGCCGAGGATATTCAATCCGAGGCCGACCGATCTCCGAATATCTCGGATCGGATCGGATCGGTGGTCGGTCGTGGTCGGTGCTCGGAGTTCGGAAATATTTAATGAAATGATTTTGACAAGAAGAAGAAATCGATTGAATACAGCGCACATCGAACAATTGTTATTTTTGAATAGAAATTTAAAATGATCTAAATTTTTAAAAACGAATGAATGAGATAAATTGACGATTAATAAAAATGGGTACAAAAGAAAAATTAATTCAATTTAAAAAAAATATTGGTTTTAATTTTGTGAGCATCCGATCAATATCCGAAAACCGAATTCCGAAAAAAAATCCGATGGAAAACTCGTTCCGACGCCGACCGAACTCCGAGTATTTTCGGTTCGGATCGGATCGGCGGTCGGTCGGCGGTCGGACCTCGGTCGGATTTGCGAACCCTGCTAATTATGAACCCGAATATACTTTTTCTGGTTCAAAATTACGCATAAATAGCAATGTTTCTATAATTTTAACCAGTTTTTTCTAATTCTTTTCAGCCCATTCTTTAAAGCCCATTATATTTTTTAAATTGGAATAAAATTAACTATTGACTTCTCTTTCTGGTAATGTCATTATTATAACAAAAATAATTCATTTCTGCTCCAAATAATCTTTTATTTTAATATGAATTTGATTAATTTTGAAATATATTAATAAAAATGTTGTTTCTGGGTTATTTTTTAGCTCTAAATCATGACATACTTATTTATGACTTTTAATTGAAGAAAGCAAGTCATGTGTAGTATGCACATTTTAAAGCTTTTAAAGGAGGACTCCGACTATCGTGAACTTATCTGCATTGTGAAGGCCAACCATATTTTCATATGTTCTCGTCCTGCCTACTCTAACTTGATTTTCAAAATTTTCAATTGGCATCATTCGATAGCTTTAATAATAATAATAATTCTTACATCAAGCAGTTCTGAAGAAGATAAAAAATAATTGTGTGAAAAAATATTTTCAGCATTGCGTACAATCTTACATCGCTAGAATTTCGATATCACTTCGTTTTGTCTTTCACTTTCCACCAATATTCGGACAATTCTCGGATTCTATCGAAAGGTCACAATTTATTCATCAGGTATTCAATTTATAATTTTTTTTATCCCATACACTTTCAAAAAAGGTTTTGTATGTAGCATTGTAGCAATTTGGAATAATTTTTTTCATGTGAAATAATGTTTACACAGCCATTATAAATTATTTATTATTTTTAGATTTAAAATCTTTACAGAAAAGTTTTTTCAAATCAACATTCATTTAAAATGAATATTCATGTTTAAAAAATAATGTTTTGAACACATATGTTGTTAAATTCGGTCAAACAGTTGACATATAACCCATTTTGATGGTCATTTTCGTGTCTAATATAACGGAGATTATGTGCATAGTTTCAAACAAAATGTACGTTGACTTCCATTTGTTTCATTCACTTCCAATACCAATTCGTTATTAATAATGTAAGCACAGCCCAATACGTTAAGTTTTAAATTGTAACGATTCATTTGTTGCTCAATAATAAAAAAATAAACAATCCGTTTGGAGAGAGATTTGCGTTTTTTGATTTAAAGTTAAGAACATTTTTAGACGTCATTTACTGCATTACCTTTTTTTTATTTCATGAATAAAATTTCAATTTCGAATTTTCGAACCAGAAACGAATTTCGAATGTGAATGACATTTAACGGTTGGTGGATGTGTGTCAGTCACATCGAAGCCGATCATCTTTTGTTTACATTAAAAAATGTGCTTCGTAATCTCCGCATCACATCACATTGTGACGGTGTTTTTAATACAATTGGTTCCTTAAATAGAACGCAAAATGGGTCGACACAAGACAACCGATCCGAACAAGGATGTAAGGTCCATCAAACAGGGGCTGCCGGGAATACTTCGTCCAGAATATCGTGCTATTCTGGTCCAAATCATCACAATTCTGTCGATTAAGGCCACAAAAATAGCAAGTTTGGCATCGTTGCTATTGTTGATGATGGTGAGATGAAATTCAATTATTATTGTGTGTTTTTGAAATTACTTTTTCTACTAGAATTTCGATATGAATTGCAATGAATGAATTGATTTTATTGTTTTCTCTTTGTGTGTGTTCGTTTGTTGAATAGGTGAACGAAAACATTGAAGACATTGAAGGCAATAATGGTGAAAAAAATTTCGAACAGGGTGGGAAAAAAGTAATCCAAAATTGTTTTAGAGCTGTGCTCTTGGCCAACATTGACAACGTGTCGCTGATGTTACCGAATTTTCGTCACAGGGTTGAATCGCATTTTATTGAATGGCCAACCAACAATGGCTTCGACGCAGCGTTTACGTATCTATGGGAGCAGTATATGGATAACGTCAAAACAAATCTGACTACCCATTGCAAAAGCCGATTAAAGAAATTCTTTGAAATGCGCGTATTTGAATTGAACGATTTTACAGCGCAGTACAATTATTTCAACGATCGGTTTGGTCACGGTAACGTATTGCCATATTACGACAATGTTGACATAACAAATGCCATCAACTACACATATCATCGCAGAAATACCACCAATGGTGATAACAACGTGAATTGCGACTGGGCGAGTTGTTAGATGAGCTACGTTTTATTGGTGAACCAGAAGATTGCAACATCAAGGATTTCGTAAAGAATGACTGGTTCAAATCCATTCGCATGTGGATGTTCATTCAGCGCTCTATCCGGATGTTTCATATCACGTACAAAGATCGCCGTGATAAACCACGATTCCGGAATTTCGTTGTTGTACCGATATGGGATTTCCAACGGCGACAAATTCGTGTCAAATTTGGTAAACAAAAATCCCAAAAAGGAACGCCAAATTGGAGAAAAAATGAGAAGAAAGAATTCAGTGCAAACAAGCATGGGAGTTGGAATCTGTTTTTCGATATGGAGAAAATTTGCAAATTGGTGAGCAACAAAAAGGATTTTGATCATCATATTTGTTCGGATGGCGTATCTGTATCGTTTTTGTAAAAAAAAGCCAAAAGTACAGCAAGTCGAGAAAACGGATGCTGAAATCAAGGCATTGTACGATAGCAAACAATTAAAGTATGCTATTGGAGTTGATCCGGAAATGCGTTCGTGGAACGCTTCAGTACGACGTGAGACTGAAATCAATGAAGAGGCAAATTTGGTTTTTTTACAATGAATCAAAGTGATTGTGATTTCGAATACAATGTTGTTTTTGTTGTTCTCATTTTGTTAGGTGATGATATCATTGGGACGCAAAACAAAATCGTCGTGATGCGAAAGCCAAAAGAATCGAAATGAACCATCCGTTTTCTACATTGGAGCCGGAAGATCAACACCAGCCGATTAGAATCAAGAAATATGTACGCTGTCCAGGCACGCGCAAACTCATTAGATCGATCATGAAACGCGGCAATTGCATCATTCGAGTGGTCGATGAATACATGACATCACAGCATTGTCCATTGTGTTTCAAGCGATTTCCACTAGCAACTCGAGGCGATCGATACAAGACATGTGTGGGTTGTGCACCAAATCCAATTGTTGGACTTACCAACACTCATTGTAACCAATGTGAGCAAACGAAAATAAAACTGATGATTTGTTGACGATTTATTTAGTTTTCCTTCAAATTAATGCAAATGCGACGAACAATTGAACGAATGTGGCGCGAGAAATGGGCGATGAAATTGCTGCAACTCTTCGGAATGGACCGAATGCAGGTCGTTTGGTGTCAAAGAAGCAACGCTTCTTCAAAACATGGCTACAAAATGTTGCAAACATTGAAATCGAGGGAGCTGCTGGAGCACAACCAACGCTCAAAACTGTATGGCATCGTGATATCGCAGCAGCGAAGCTGATCCAGTACAAAGCTATGCAATCTGATGAAATTGATACAAATTGTAAACGAATTGATAATAATGTGTTTTCGTTATTTCATTTGGAACTTGAATGTGTGGTGTTCAAGCGGACAATTCATCCAAATGTACGCAGACCACCCCATGTTGTCAACAATCAACCATTACCATTGTATCGCGGTCAGAATCAGAATGTCAACAATGGACAACTGCAGCCGTAGAAGTAGCAGCGTTCATTCAACGAAATCAACTATATTCAATCAAATCATAATTTAGAAATTAGTTAAAACAATTATTTGTTAGTACGCTAGGCTTGATTAAATTGTGGCATTGCCCCAGTACAAGTATTCTTGTAGGTTAGTATAGTGTACTGAATAGGATATCAAGTCATACTAATTGAATTGTTTCTGTTTTTTTTTTTTTTTTCATTCCAATGATGACGTTGAATTCGACTGAAAATACACACAAATCCGGGCTCAAATTCGACCGTCAACATATGCTCGATAATGGATGAATTTGACACATTAATTGTTTATTGGGAAGTTCGGTTAAGTCCAAATGTCAAACAGTTGACATTATTCAATCACAGAAAATATTGACAACAAGTTTTTTTCCACTTAAACTGAAAGTTGTCCCACGTTTTCACTTTATAATGACGGAAAGATAAAACAAATTTGGAATAACATTAACATTGTGATACAACATTTATTTGTATGAAGCTGATTTAGAATAGTGATAAATGACGTGTGCCATTTTTGAAGTCAAATTAATGATTTTATTTTGTTTACCACTAAATTTTTCTGATTTGATTATATTGTGTTAATTAAAAAAAAATCCTATTTTCTATAAATTAAGTCCATTACATTAATAATCAATACGTATCATGCGTGGCATTCGACGATCGGTAAAAACAAAAATACTTTTGTTATCATTGGTTCTCGCAACATTCGTATTATACCTCAAATTTCAAATCAAATTTATAACGAAAAATTCAGATATACTCGAAAATGACATGCACTATAATAGTCAAAAACTTAAATTAGTTGAAGACCAAAATAAAGTGGATACAAATGCGAACACTCTTGATTACAAGAAATTTATTGATGCTGATTTTGCAAAACAAGTGAAAGGATTTGGTAATAATGGAAAGGCCTCAGTTCTTACAAATGCAAAATCTAAAGAAATTGGTGAGCATCAATTGAAAAAAATTGCACTGAATGAAGAATTAAGTGAACACTTGAGCTATAACCGAACACTTCACGATGCTCGCAATCCTTTATGTTTAAATCAGTATGTGAATTTGAATGCGCTTCCAACAACTTCTGTTGTTATTATATTTTACAATGAACCATATTCTGTTTTGGTGCGCACTGTTCATAGTGTCTTGAATACAGTCAATTTCCGTTTGTTGAAGGAAATAATTTTAGTAGATGATTGTAGTACAAATGAGGCACTTAAAGGAAAATTAGACTACTATGTGCATACAAAATTGCCAAAAAACTTTGTGAAAATTATTCGTCTTAAACATAGGTTTGTAAAATTTATTTTCTTTTAATGTTTTGTATACAAGATTCGCAATTGTTCTTGAATATTTTCCAAACTGTAATAAATACTTCTGTTTGAACCGAGTGTAACATCTAAGAAGGTCACTCTTTTCATTTTTAAAAAATCTGGCCTAATATTGAAATTTTTCATCAGAAATTTTGAAAATTAAACATTATAACACGTGTTGGGTTAGGTATGAGACTAAATTCAGGTGTTTATTGCGCTACAAACAAAAGAAAAATGTCAACCAATGCACATAGGAGACTTAACGGGACTCCTACTCTACTATCAAGCACAATTTGCACAAAAATTTCCATTCGTGATGACGTACAAATTGGAAAGTACGGTCGTATTCCCAATCTGAGTGCTCAAACTTGACTAACCTTCAAAATTGTCATCAAGTAATGAAAACCAGGTTGGTCAAGCAAAAATTCATTTTTGGTGATTCCTATGATTACAGCACATCCAAATTTGAACAAAAACAATAGATTTAGACACGATCATTAGGAACCAGCAAAATAAGTTACGCAAAAACTCTGAAGGGTGTCAAAAATTGGGTATTTTGGACAGTGAAACATTCATCGCTATATCGAACCATAAATCAAGTGCAAGTGGTTTCTTTTGCATTGATAACGTTATAGCACTACTATAAAGGGCTAGAGACGTCGACAAACCGAACTTTGATAAAGTGATGTTTGTATTGTAGGATCTTCTTTGGAAGGTGTTTTAGAGCCATTATTCGAAAATTTTGTGCTGTAAGGTTAAACCTCCATTACTTACTCCATTACCAATAAATTATTATTGAAATCGGTGAAATTCGTTGAGAACTATCTGATTAAAGACAAAATTGTGTTTTGCAAGCAGAAAAAACTACAATAATGGCTCACTTCTTAAAAAAATAGCATTTCCATGAAAAAAGGACCATCTTTTTAACTTCACAAAAAGACACTAAATTAATTCTTTCTAGTCTGTTTTTGGATGTATGTTATAGGCGAAGGTCCAAAATAATTGAAACGAGCAACAACTGGTTGGAAGATTTGAGAGAAAGTTGAAAGAAATCGACAAATCAGTTGTCCAGAGCATGATTTTGAAGGTTTGACGCATACTGAGAAAAATCGAAGACAATGGTCCGTTAAGTGTAAAGTGAATGTGCTATTCGATAGCCTATGAATATAGGTTTATACCAATAAAAAGGAATTTAATATTTTATATTTTTTGTTCAAATGGAGGAGGAGTGAATTTAGTCTCAAAACTAACCTAACACATGTTATGATACGTATATGATACATGATACACCCGGTATGGTATGTATGTTTAACAACATTGGTTTATAAACATAGTTATATTCTTGCAACTCCTTTATTTTCTCATTTCTCTATAAAAAGTATAAGATATTTTTCCAAAAGAATACAAAGAATATTTAAATAATTTAGCAAAATGATAATAGAAATCCATGAATTGAATAGGTTGGGATTGATTCGAGCTCGTTTAGCAGGAGCACGTTTAGCAAATGGAGATGTTCTAGTCTTTTTAGGTAGTAAATAATCAATTTTTCTTTGTATATGTTCATGAAATAATTTTTTTTCGTTAATATAAGATGCTCATTGTGAAGCAAATCAAGGTTGGATTGAGCCTCTATTGGCTCGTATCAAGCAATCCCGGACCAGCGTAGTAGTTCCAATTATCGATGTGATTGACGCTAAAGACTTCCACTACAGTATTAATGGTTATAAAAATTTTCAGGTAAATATTATACAGGATATAATATAAGTAAAAAACACTTCTTTGGAAGTTCTCACTGTGACGCAATACTGCACATCAAATCTGAAAATGATCTGATATAAATTTTCAGTGACGCTTGCAATCAAATACACAAACAATTTTTATATTGCGTTGCCTCTTGGGCATAAAATTTTCATTTTTATTTTTCTAAAAATGAGAGAGGCAACGCAATATAGCCAAAAATGACGTATCTTTGTTGAAAAACACCTCGTGTACCATAATCTAGAAATTCTCTAAAAATCGAAAATTTTCGAAAAAAAAAATTAATTTTGAAGAAAAAAATTGGTTCGTTACGAATTTTCCCAGATATGACACACACATCAAAACATCACAAATTTGGTCCCCAACAAACGCTCAGTTTTCCACCAGAAAACTATGTATGTAATTTTTTTAATTTTGGTTGGTGTGAAAAAAGTCATTGTCATTTTTCCAAAAAAACTACACATGCAGCGCCATCTAGCGATCATTTTAGAAATTTTTTCCAATCTGACGTCAGATCTAGATAGCTGAGGTTCGTAGCTTTCCAATGACATATAGATCATTACCTCACCTTTCATATGCACAGAAAATAGGTCATTCGATGAAAAACTGAAAAAGTGCATTCCACTTTTTTTCGAACCCAGACCCCAGGCAGTTGCGCGACGAAATCGAAAAATTCGAAGAGACATGTATGCTCAGTTTTCCATCTACTTTCGAATAAAATCGGTCTCCGGCGGTTTAAGAAATGTCTCGGAAAAAAATTTGCCGACACACAAACATATCATTTCAAAAATTTCGTGTTTTTCGTAAGATTTTCTGACATGATCATATCTCGGACACTTTTCGATCGACTCCAACAATTTTTTTTTTCAACACTATCTACCCGAACTCCAGTTTCCGAATATGCCATTTTTCGGAAAATTGTTTCTGGTTTCGGTGGTCAAAAATGGACAAAACCAAAAATTTACCTTTTTTTTGAAAATTTTGAAATTTTTTATTTTTTTTTTGCGGATTCTTAATTTGGTGCCCGAGCACTACTAAAATATGCAAAAACCCCTTTCCAAAAGTCAGCGGTATCGATTTTCATTTCTTTACAGTATATATAGAGTGACGCAAATTTACATATATTTCAATTGTATGTTGGTATTGCGTCACTTGGGGGACTGCCGTCCCCCATAATATATATTTCCTTCATATTTCGTTATATACTCCATTATAACCGGAAAAATCGTTTTGGCCCTATTCACTTTTCATCTTTTTTCTTTTTCTCTATCTCTCTCTGGATTTATGAAATACACGAAATTTTATAAAAAAAATTCAATGGAAAATTATATTTTAGGTCGGAGGTTTTACGTGGAACGGCCACTTCGATTGGATTAATGTGCCGGAAAGAGAAAAACAACGTCTTCGGAAGGATTGTGGTGAGAAGGCTGATATATGTCCCACATTCAGGTCGGTGATATAATATTTTTTCTTTTTATTGGCAAATACATATAGTCGAAATTGTCTTACAATAGCCCAACAATGGCAGGCGGTCTTTTTGCGATATTACGAGAATATTTTTGGGATATTGGGTCATACGATGAACAAATGGGTAATCTAATGTTAATTTTTCAATTTTATTTTTGATCTCTTTTTTTCAAAATACGATTATACATATATGTGTTATTTTTCTCTTCTTTTTCTTACATACATATTGTAAGAGTAAGTATCTTCTGTTTATATATCAATGCTTATTTCAATATAAAGATTTCAATTAAGAATAGAAGTGTTTTAAGTTTTTATTTTATTTTGAAGTGGATGGGGTGGCGAGAATATTGAAATGTCACTGCGGATCTGGCAGTGCGGTGGTCAAATAGAAACGATACCATGTTCGCGTGTCGGGCATATTTTTCGTGACTTTCATCCGTACGAGTGAGTTTTTTTATTTAATAAGTATAAAGAAACGTTAAATCATTATTATCTGGCACAAATCCACGCTCAAATTTGGGCCTGAATTTTTGTGTCGTTTCAGTCATATCCAATGTCACAATCCAATGGTAAAAAAATTGGGAAAAAACGAGAGTCGAGCGGTATCCATATAAATACATTGTGACGTCACACATCTTACACAGAAACGACATCTTTGTAAAACAGACTAACTACAATGTAAAAGTATAGCGAGAGGGGAAGGGAGTAAATAAAAAGGGGAAACAGATACGTTTGATTTACATTGTAGTTAGTCGGTTATTAATAGATGGCGTTTATATAGTGTGCCCTTATTGCGCTTGACTCTCGGGAAAAAACAACTCAATTGATATGAAAAAATTCACTTGATTCATATAACCATCAATAAACTCCTCAAAACGAGTACAATTTATAACAAGAGGAAGCTCGTTCTCCGGAAAGGCCACAATTTTATCAAGCCTAGCGAACTAAAAAATAATTATTTTAAACTAATTTCCAAATTAAGTATTTTTGTTTGAATGATGTTGCTAAATGAAGTTGAAGTCGATCTCGGCCTTACATTTCTCACATCTCGTGCCATATTTATGATCTAACAACTCCAATGTAGAAAATTGACGGTTGAATGCGAACCATTTTGCAAGCTGTTTTTTCGATTACCGATTCGATATGCTTGTCCAATACGAATCGTGTGTATAAAAATAAGGGTACTTAGAGTGGAAATGTAAAAATAAGGGTATCTCCCATACAAAATTTTCTTTTTTCTCGTATTTGAGCTAGAAACAAATAAAAGGTATCCATCTAGATAGTAAAATGGTCCTCTTTTATTTTCAAGTCGCTGTCTTATATCAAATAAAAAGTTGAAATGTCTTTCATATCTTGAATCTGGAGACCGTAAGACATGTTTTGTCAAGTGGCCGAAATACATGTTGAAAATGTACCACCCTAGTGTATATTGCTTATTATATGTTTCAATGTCATCGTTCATTACTCCTAATGGATGTTCAATGTACGAACGTCATAATCAAAACTACCTCTTCTTTGGTATTTAAATCTCTCTCAAAACAAATCCAAGTTAGATGATCCAACAGCATATTTGCCTTCGTACGGCATCACTTATTTCGACTGAACACACCATCAGAACAAATTTGGCAATCGACATCTTTTTTGAAATGCACCAGTTGTTGAAATCTATCCACATCAAGAAATAAATTGCAAAGTTGATGTTTTTTTATTCAAAGCAAAAAATGAAATGTTTGAATTTACCTTCATGAGAAGAAGTAACGAGGCCAGGCACGAAATCTTCGTCGCTTTCATGGATAAATTTGAAATTATTGCAATAATAATGTCGCGTTATTGCGGTTGTATGACTTTGGCGAGGGCCTGTTTAATTCATCTGTGATCATTGTTGAGATAGCGCTAAAGTGAATTCAGATTACAAATTCGATTTGGTCGTTGAGTGAATGGTCGGCTCTTCGAAAATAAAAATCGAATCACTCCCAAAACTAAAAAAACGAGGCACCCTAGTGATCATGAGGTAGAGTTTTGAATATAAACATATGCTGCTCGACACTGGTTTGACACATACAGCTGTCGAATGAGGAATATCAGTTTCAGATTCGATATTCGAATTTGCATTTATGAAATGAAAAATAAATAAATGCATGGATAAACGTTTAAAAGAATTCTTTTGTCAAAAATAAATGCAAATCATTCAAATCTCGTTGTATACTTGTTTATTTTTTTTTCTGCGACAAATGAATCATTAGAATTGAATTACAAAATTAACGTTGTATTAGGTCAGGTTCAAATTATGCTGGGGAAAGTGGAAACTATACAATGTATAGTATACATATAAAATCTACCTTCTAATCTACATATCACTAAAACCAAGGAAGCGAAAGCGTTACATTTTGAACGTAAAAATTCATAAAAAATGTTACAAATTTAGTTTCTTTAATTTATATTAAATAAATAATAAATTTATTCTCATTCATATTGACAGATTTCCAGACAATAGAGACACACACGGTATAAATACCTATTAAACAAAATATCGAATTAAAATTTAATTAATCTTTTTTTAATTGATCTCATAGGTATAAATACCGTGAGGATGGCAAAAGTGTGGATGTATGGCTGAGATTCTAATTATTATCATTTTCATTATATATATGAATGGGTAAGAATAATCATGAGCTCCAAACATTCTTTAAAAAAATACTGATACAAGACGATGAATTAAAATAAATGAGATAATAACTCGCGTTTAAAATAAATCAGATACTTGAAAGATATTGAAAATAAAAGTGGTATGTATCAAATTTATTTTTAATTCTGGCTAGTATCTCATTTATTTTAACTCATTTGTGCATTAAACCGAGTCTCCGAGAGTTTCATATAAGCCTTCCCATGTATTGATAGATCAATAGATGGTAAAAAATCGTGAAAAATGAAAAAAATATTGGAAGTATAAATTAAAACGTAAGGATTTTTCACTGAAATTGGGCATTTATTTGAAGAGGATGGTACACATTTTTTTATTCAAAGTATTGTCCATCGCTAGCCCCTACTTTTTCCCATTTTCCAGGCAATTCATGGATTCCGTGCCAAAAG